TGTTACCGCTGTTACCGCTGTGGACTCCAGATGCTGTACGGGCCTCAGACCGGACGTTCGGTTCGATCCCCCCAGGGCCACCGTCGCTGGCACACCCCCCGTGGGCAATTTTCTTTTGCGCTCGGGAGTGTCGCGGTTCGCGACGACGGTCGTGGGCGCACCGCGCGCCCGGCCCCCTGTCGCGCCGTTGGTCGCTTGGCGGCGCACGCACCGGCGAGAGGCGCGTGCTCCGCCTCCGGCCACGCCTCCAGCCGAGGCCTATATAAAGGGTCGCCTCTGCCAGTCGGCGCTCTTCGTCTCCTCCGGGAGAGACGGTCGTCGGGCAACGCGAGGAAGGCGAACGGCTAGGGGTGCCTGCTAGCACCCGTCAGCATGTTCGGGCATGCTGTCCCGTTCGCTCGGAGCGCTGGTAAGTTAGTGTCCCGCTACACCCGAGGGACACTATCGGCTGCAGGCCGATGTTACCGCAGTTACCGCTATGGCTGCAGACACTACAAGCGTTGGCCGGGCTTCTCCACGCTCGGCAGGAAGTTAAGTTGTAGTGCGTAAAGGACGTTATCGCCAATAAATTATGAGTCCAAGATGTGTAGTGTTGTGTACAAGTATAGCAGCACGGGTAAGCTTGGGGGCAGCGCCAGGGCAGGTGGGGCCCGATCAAGGCGCAATAGGTCATCATGTGCTGCGTGCATCAAGGGGTTGTTACCGCGGGGCATGGCCCTGTAACCCCCCGTTCCTGGGTTAGGAACCCTGTAAGGCCCCGGGGTGCGGAGGTCATGCGTGCGGGAAACCGCATGATCCCCGGGAAGGACCCGTAGAACGACGTGTGCCTGGGAAAGGCCACGGGGGCCCCGAACCACCTCGATGCGTCGTGTTGGAGGGTTAGGAGGGCAACCGCTCCCGAACCACGACACTATGCAATCTAATGTAAAATTGCATGAGTCAAAAAGTAGATTCAGTCACATGGCATGTAAAGTTGGGCCATACAAATAAAAAACTAATTCATAGTGTCGCTAGTCAATTAGTAGGAAGTTATACGATGAGAAGATTTATATGCAGCTCGTAGGATGAAGCGACGTGTACTGGCCCGAGAAGAACGACGAAAGCTTTAGGAATGCCTTTGCGAATAATGCCCAGTGCACGTCGAAAGGAAGAGGGATTAGGAGGGGCGCATGATTGTCACGAACGAAATATCTTGTATATTCGCTGTAATATATTTGAAAGCTGAAGATGGTACCTCTTCAGTGCCTGTAGCAATCGTCACAAAAGCCCATTTTTCCTCCAATTCCCTCTTGGACATGAAGGAGTGAAGACGACGCACAAGCTCGGTAGCCTGGAAAAGAAAAGGTTGTGAAAGCTCCCTGCAATGTGGACTTTTGCAATTCCAAAACGTGTAAAGAAATTGAGGTCTGCTCCTAATCAAGTTGTGAAATTCTTGCTTCCAGTTTCAAATTTTATAGGGAATGATACTGAAAATGGACTTTCAGAATGGAACTAGGCGCTGATGTTTGGAGAAGAAGTTGTCCGAGCGAACATGAAATACGATAGCGCGACCAAGGGAGCCCTCGAGAATCCATCTCTCCTTATGGAAACAATATCAGTTCTATATAAAACCCTAAGTCAAGGTCTGAAGAAACCCTGAAGACCTTTTTTACTTTTCAAATCTTCAGTATTTATTTTTTCAGGTCAAATAAAATTCATGCGATGTACTTGTTCTGGGAGGTCCTCTGTCTCGGTATTCGACTGAGCAACGTTTAGCTGGTAGTCCGGAAGATGCAGTCGCTTTCCCATGCCATGTGAAACGCCGGCCAACTTTTCGTTGAACTCCAGTAGAATGTCTGGAATTATTACTTGTGAACTATGAAGGTTTTAGTGTTACGGTATAGCACTGAAGAAGACAACAGCAGTATCAAATTACATTAGATCTGAAAATTTCCACTGACAAAAGTACGTAGTGCAAAAAAAGACTATTTCATTATCCACTGAGTTAGTATTCATCCATGCAGCGTTGGCCAAGACGGGTCTCTCATGCAAAAATCAGCCGATTAGTACACCCCCTAAAGCTGTACCTACCTTGGACACCAGCTCAGCTTCACTGAAAACACTAGCGGAGAGTACAGCAGACGCAGGAAAGCAGCTTGGTCTAACTTAGTCTAGAATCTCAACGGTATCGCAGAAGTCAATGGAACGCAGAATTTGCAAAGTGTCACTTTGTGAACATATCACAAATGCAGAGCTGTGAATTTGAAGTGGCCTTGTTGATGTTGTCCAGGGAATATAAATGTAAAAAAATATGCTGGTCATGTGGCGCGTTTAAAAGCCAGCAAATGGACTATCGCGGTTTTACCGCGATAAAAAGGTCGATTTTTACAAGCAATATTATTAATCACTGTATATGTTAGTCTGACCAAGCCCAATCGATTGGAATCTCAGATAATCGTCAGAAAACGTGCGCATTCCTTCGTCGGAGCAAGAAGTAGAAAGGGGTAAAAGAAGAGTGCCAGCTGCATGGGCCCGCATAGAGGGATCGTCTTCAGAATTCCAGTCGTCGACGTCAACTTGCACCGCTTCCTTCCATTCCCTATATTCTGCTTCGTTGTTTTTATTCCGTACTAATTCTGCCTTCTATCAGGATAAAGTGCGTCTTGTATATGTTGCTGTTTCGAGGACATAGTACACTGGCCGAGAGCAAACCGCGTGGCACGGAGAGTATTATATGCATATATGTATATAAAATTATTATACGGGCTTCGCAGGCATATGAATTGGATCCCGTTGGATCACAAGCGATCGCCGAGAAGGTGGGCCGATCCGATGATGAAAATGCTTGGCCACAATGCAGACGACGTGCACAGGACCGGAATGGATCGCTCATAGTGGACTTGCGCGAACGACGAGATTTGCGAGGACGAGTCGGATTCAGGTGATACAGTACCCCCCCTCCCACCCTACCCACCTTGACGGGATGTGTCGGTACTACTCTCTCCACTCAACTGAAACAGCCTTTTACGAGCGATGATGTCAACGATGTCGGTGAACCTAGTTCAGCCTGGCACGTTCTATAACTTCGCACTCATTAATCCGAAATGACTGACACTATGTGTTGCGGAAAAAACGCAACAGATTTTTCGCGAGGACTCCTTTGAAATCAATCAAAATGAATTCAGGCTGGTCGCGGTTTATGGGAGGGTACAGACGTTGAGTTTCGAGGTGCGGCTTTTCCAATAGGAGGTGATGCGACTATCGATGGACTTGTTACCATTCCGAGTTAGTTCCCTTCTTGAAAAACTTCTCAGAGTGCTCTCACAAGAATGCTGGGTCATGAACAAAAGTTACGCCCCGGGCGGACTCAACTCGACTAACCGCTTCTCCCTAAGTCGCGCCCGAGGCGAG